GTTACTATTATCGAGAGTCGTATCGCGCGATGCGATGGATGCATGGACAGATATGTCCCCCATGGGTCCCGGACTGAGAGACAGCGGGTGTGTATCATTAGGTCAGACATGCATCACTATACTTGACATTGCATTTCATTGCATTGCACTTCTTTATTATTGGTGAACTTGATCTTGTGTGTTGATGATCTTGTGAGTGCATTTCTATGGAACTTATGACTGATGAATATTGAGCTTGTTGTTGAAGATATGTAATTGTTAGAGTGTTGTTGTTGAGGATATGAAACTATTGTTGTTGTTGAGGATATGAAATTGTTAGAGTGTTGTGTTGAGCTATATGCTTTGTAAACTGTGAACTCTTATGTTAGGCTGGTACTAAGCAGGTTGTAGTTGTGGAGGTGGTAATTGATGAATATTGAGCTTGTTGTTGAGAATATATGATTGTTAGAATGTTGTTGTTGAGATATGTGCTTGTAAATTGTGAACTGTTAGGTTGGGCTGCTTTTATACTAGATTGTAGTTGTGAAGGTTCGGTGGGTGTAATGAGTACTTGTATTCTATCCCCTTAGCTCGTGTTTAGAGGTTTACTTGCTGAGTACCGTGTGGTTTGGTACTCACCTCTTGCTTCTACAAATTTTTGTAGGTTACGAGCCTGGATTTTTGTGGTACTTGTCATTCCCTTCTTTTCCAAGGCTTCTTGGAGATTTGTGAGGTAGTTCTTTGTCTTCTCAACGATCCTTCTTACTCCTGTTTATGATCTTGTTCTACTCTAGAAACAATGTCATATGAGGCTTGTATTTTTCTTTTGATTCAATTGTAATACTTTCGAACCCTGCAACTCACAAAAGGCTAGTATTAAAGTGGAGAAGGGTAGAAGAACAGACTCATTTTACATCGAGTTTCAAACTCTGCTCCAACAAGTCCTCGGGATTTCCTTGTTATAAAAAAATATTACTACTTGATAGAGTACATTGAGAAGAGAATAAGCTTCACTATTCAAAGTTGAAAGATGCGACTCATATGGATAATAATATATCTATGTTGCTCGGACTCTACCCTTAAGAACTGAGATGGGAGTTAAAATCCCATCAAACATCTTCTATTCCTTTCTATCCAAACAGAACAAACATTACAGCTAGGGAAAATTCCCCAGCCTCTGTTGTAATTGTTCTGGAATAATAATAGTAGATTTCTTGTCTCCGACCCAGGTGATTACTCTAATGTATCTGCCATTACATTGTAGAGGCTCTGATACCATATGAGAAATATAGGAGAAAAATATTATTGAATTGTTGTTGTGTCTACATTATTACATTGAGACTATATTTATAGACACTACAATACAATCCTTTACCAAGTAGGATACTATTTTCTATTCCTATTCTATTCTAAATAGGATTGTATAAATCTATTCCTATTCTACTAGGATTGTATAAATATTCTAACAGCAGTATAATGAATTGCATCATTTTCCTGAAGGATAATAATGAGTTCCAATCATTCCAACACCAAAATCAAACATATCCATTCTCTTCAACCAGCTTGTCAATATTGTCAGTCTGTAACATCAAGAACGACATTTTCAAATACTTACCTAATACATTACACCCAATATTCAGTTACAATGAATCAATTAACAGCACCCATGAGTTCAGTTCTTTCGTGTTAGAGAACTTAGACACAACCTTGATTTATCTCCTCCACTTATCAGAACACCCTTGTGTAAAAATGCAATATTACGATGGACCACACAAAATCACAAAGCATATCAACGATATTGCAAAAACATAAAAACATAGTGTGCAATCACTATTAAAAAGTCATGTTAACTCAGGCAAAACTGAGAAAATTAAGTCAACTCTCAATTCAAAAACAGAATGGTTAATGAACCTTTCTTGAAAATGCTTTTCTTGAGCCAGGTGTCTATCGCTAACAGCCTCTCCACCTCTCACAAGGTAGGGGTAAGGTTTGTGTACACCCCACTTATGGGATCGCATTGGGTATGTTGTTGTTGTTGTTGAATGGTTACTGACTTTTATTAACACCCAATTGGCTCATCAACTCAAAACAAGTATTGGGTTGATAGACTCAACACACGAACATGTTTTATTTTAAGTGCTATTTCAAAATTGATTCTAAAATCAAAATATGTTATTGCAATATTACTATGGCTATTACTATTATAGCAGTTTATGTAATTAGAAAACTAGACAAACAAGCAGTACAAGGGACTACACAAAAGTTCTTTCAATAATGGATGATGAGAGATCATTCACAAAAAAAAATTCATTCAGATAATGAGAGATGTACGGAATCCTCAACGGTGATGAATCTTTTCATTTGATTCAACTGAATTGCTGATCAACAGTCTCTCACTGTCAACAAAAACTTTCGAAGGGGTAGATGATTCATTGTTACAAGAGTTGACTTTTTGTCTACTTTGTATGCATAGATGATTGGCAACATTTCTGGGAGGCTTATGTGTATTCTTAATACATTAGGTAAAGACAACAACCAATTTGGTGTAATATCAATAAACACTTTGATTAACTGAACAAAGAAAACAAAAAGAGAGTCTTTTTTGTAAGTAACAAAAGAGAGTTTTGAAACCATATTACCATATCAACAATATGGTTCCAGGAAAACACAAATTAGCCATACATTTCCAGCAATTGACTAAACTATAAAATTAGAGCCTCCATATTCTAAACATCATGAAATTCCAAAATACCAAATAAACAAGCTCAAGAATAAATATCTACCATTTGCTCGAATGATCCGCTGCTTCAGTAATCGTGAAAGGCTTAATACATCAAAACGACAATCCAGGTCAACAAACATAACTAATCGCTCCAAGCCTCCATAGTTTACACCTTTCCACTCCTTAGGCAAAGTACAATTAATAGCAGCCTAGCATGAACCAAAAAGAATCACATTAAGCTTGTTATTTGAGAGACATAATATATGTGATACCATCTAGTTGGGATTAATGCTTTCGTGATTTTTTTTTAAAATCTACAGTTACATTTTTTATATTTGCCGGGACTTTATTTAATCAAGTTAGGGACTTGTATGTCCATGGAGAGTGTGAATAAGTGTGAGTTTTTGAGGCCTCCTTATTTGCAGGATAAATTATTTTCCCTTTGGCCATGAAGTATTATTTCATTATTTGCATAAACTCAGTTTGGTCTTGTCATTTTGGGTGACTTCAACTGAAAATTGAAACAGTGGTATCACAGGTATGAATGTGTATTTCAAGTGAAGCTTTTCAAATCGTCAATTTCCATCCCAAAATCTTTTCCACAATAAGGACTTCCATAAATTTTTCTCAACTCTAACTTCATATAATCTTCTTCCAGTTTTAACTGAAAATTTTCCAAATTCCCAGATAGTACTGGTATGAAATAGACCCATAGTATTATATTTTGACAACCGTGGTGTCCGGGCCAGCTTTCGGCACCTACCACTCCCATTAGGGACAAAACCAGGTAATTTTATCCACCAAAGCTGAGATAGATAGGAAAAAATGAACTTGAACCTACGACCTCCCAGTTCTCAGCCCACTTCATTGACCACTAGGCCACACCCATGGTGCTGAAATAGACCCATATGGAGAAAAATGGTCGCACAGAATGCATACTTCTAAAACATCCGACCCTAAATAGACAGGTAATTGATTAATATTGGTAACACTACAAAATGTGAGAGTCCACAAAGCAAAAGAAAATGGTAAAAAATGCACCTAACGTATCCCAATTTTTTGAGTTTCAGACCTATATCAGGTCTGTGCATTTCCTACCTAAACTATAACCAATTACTTATCAAAATACATTTCAACTATCAATGTTTATTTTTCCTACCTAAACAATGAGATATTTCAGTTTGTGAAACTCACACACCTACTAGTTGAATTGTGTTTTAATACATAGATAGGGATAGTGCAGATAGAAAACTCACACACTTGATTGTTCATTCAGATAAGAAACTCAAAAATACTGAATACATTAAGAGTGTTTAACTCTCCCTATATGCACATTAAATCACTGATTCAAAATTATGAATTGGCATCTATAAAATGTAGCTGAACAGAAATGAAGAAGAAAAATTAATAAATAGAGTTTTTGTTACATGTGACTTGCCTGCATAAGAATGCGAGTTTTTGAAGAAGGAGAAGGACCGACGATTTCGACAACATTGCCGGGACGGAGAGGAATGCGATGAAGAGGTGGAGGTAATGGTAGAAAAGGTCTCACTGAGAAAACCCTAGTGAGAAATTGCTTCGCCGTTTCGTCTGCTTCAATCCATTCTCTCGCCGACGACGCCATTTCTACTCTTAGTTTGCTCGGAGCCGAAAACGGAAAAGGAAGACAGAGTACCAGCTCTACAAGACTAAAAGATTTTTTAAAATTAATTAATTAATTAATAAGTCTTTTTTATTAAAAATAATTAATTTTACAATATTATGAAATTTTCATTGTATTTTTTTAACTTATAAATGGTTATAAAAAATCATTTTTAATTATTTCACTTTTTTTTTTAATTTAAAAGTCTATAATAGCTGGGATAAAAAAATGCTCCCTTGATTTCATATTATTATGTATCCACATTACATAAATGCACCGATGAGGAGATGCAAGAGGTTGGTTATACAGGGTAAGTAAAGGCAAATGCAGGCTGAAAAGTGTTGAAGAGAGGTGATAAGATAGGATATGACTTAATTTCACGTTATTGAGGGTATGACCTTAGATAGGAGAGTGAGGATAGAAGGTTAGTACCTGAATTTGTTGCATTTGAATCGAGGGTCTTTCGAAAATAGTCTCTACCTTCACGGGTTAGTAGTAAGATTTGTGTATATATATTACTCTCTCTAGACTTCACTTTGTGGAATTTCACTAAGTATGTTGTTATTGTTATCGTATGTATCTACATCACTAAAAATATTTGTCAATTTATCAAAATTAAAACAAAATAAATCTATTTTTTTCTATTTTTCCCTTAAAGTTAATCCGAAAATATAAATATTGTAAAGTCTAGATAAAAGTTAATCAATTTATTGATCTTAGTATTGATAGATATGATACATAAATAAAGTATATTAAAAAGAGTTAAAAAGGGGAAATTAGTAAAAATGTCTTTTTTATTTATGATTTCTTAGCAAGATGCGTGTAAAAAGAAAAGTGGACGAGTAATATAAAATAAATGACGTAATTTATTTGACTCGCAAAATCTAAACGCATGATACCATCACATAAATTGAGATAGAAAAAATACTTATGAAGTATTTTCAAATTGAGAAAATATCTAATTATTCCTTTCACCTGTCGCTCAAAATATTTGTCATAAATTACTTTTCGAGTTCATTAACTAATTTTTAGAAAAAAAATAAATATTATTTTAAAATTTAAAGTTAAATACTCAAAAAGTATACAAAATATGCTAGAAGTTATAGATAACAATCCATATCAATCTAGTAAAAAAGATACACCATAAATATTAACATATCCATATCAATGTACTAAAAAAGATGCACCATAAATATTAACCTAACAAGTATCTTGAGACTGAAAAATCTCTTTTAATGATTCACACGAAACTTACACATAAAAATGTAATTTACAATGCTTTCACTAGGGGCGACTATAACCTTTCGACTACTAATTCATAACTTCCAATACAAACTATATTAGACCTGAACCTGTAATTTTAACATGATTACAACAAGTTCATTACTAAAAATCATAAAATTTGAAACGTATTAAACTTAAATCCCGAATCCGCATCTAAATTTCACTTGTGACATATTCTAGCAGTTGCCATTGTGACACAAATAGGTGCATACTTCTTCTTTGCCTCAAGTGTCCCTGCCTTTGGTTCCTCAGCCAAAACAACACTTGTAAATGAACTTGCTGCAACTATTGCCATTAAGGCAAAAGCCAATTCCCTTCTTGATCCATTGCTCTTTTTTTCCTCTTTTTTTGTCACAATTTTTTCATCCTTATTGAAGGCATTAACTTTTAGCACTCTTCTCTTATTGCTTTTTGAATGCGTGGAAAGGGGGGAAAGCCCTTCGTTCCTGGTTCTTCTGTAGTTGAATCCTTCGATATGGACTAGAAATGGAGATGACGTTAGTAAAGAAGCCATTAGTGTATAGTTTTTGTGACTTTTTTGGTGTAGCACAATAATGTTATAATGGTTGATAATTATATTTTTGTGTTATTTAAAGTTGCATATGAATTGTGCTAGAAGGATCCATTTGATCAATCAAAAACCTTATCTATTAAATTTGTGGTGTCAAGTAATTAAACTTGTGAATATGATTGGCTTCTTGATTCTTCTTTTGTATGAATTGTGCTAGAAGAATCCTTTTGTATTAAAAATCTTTTTTTTTTATAATAATTTTAAACTGTTTGGTTGTTCTAGTTAGGTTAATTTTATGATCCGTGATGGAATCGTTGGGTGTAGCATTATATAAAACGATTAAAAATTTGTTAATTAAATTCTCGTTATGCATGTGATTTGAGAAGAATCGGATCATATTATTTTAGTTGCATATATTCTTTTTTGTATTTCTACTAGATGTTATTTCTACGATATATATATGATTGAAATTTTATGAGTTTAACACTTATGTCCTTACAACTAAATCAATAGTTATACAATTAATAATTTCTTTTTATGTAATCCTTTGGAAAAAATAATACTATTATAATTTATACCATTAAAAATATATCAAGTATGATTATTATGTCACTTAAAGAGATTGAATCCTGTATGGATTAAATAAATATTTGACACTGTAGTCTCTCTTTTTTTGACGTTCCACAACAAACTTGAAGTAAGAATAAGATATAAATTATAAATATGTTTTTAAATTTGTTCTCAATTAGTATTTATGTCATTCAATTTTGGTTGTACATAAAAAGATATTTAAATTTGTATAAAATTGAACAAATAGACACATGTATCCTACATAACAATTCACATAAAATACATTTGAACTGATTTGTATTATGCCACTAGGACATGTGTATTGGCTCATTCTGAATATTCATAAAAAAAATAGTTGTGCATAATAAATATGTATTTCAACTTATATAAAATTTAATAAGTAGACACATACATTCTACATGATAATTCACATGAGATACGCTCGAACTCATTTGTATTATACAACGTAAGACGTATGTATTACCTCATATCAATACTCATAAAAAACAAAAAAAAACAAGCTAAAGCAAATATTACCTAAATGGGACAACAAAATTAGAATACTCCATGAAACTTTTATATTCAAGTTAAAAATTCACTTCTTTGTTTGGACTTTTTGCAACTAGTCTAGTCTATTTCCTTGACTTATAAGTAGTGGCAACACTTCCATGGTAAAAAATTCTATGCCATTAGTTGACTTAAAGTCTTCTTTTGTCATTATTTGGAAAAAGAAAATTTATGATATCAAATTAAATAGTGATATAACAATTGAAACAATAACGTGTGGAAAAAAAAAGGGTCCAAAATAATTTTCTTGGTATTAATGAGTACTAGTAAGTTAGTCAAGCTTTGTGCGGGTGTTAAATTATAATATCAAAATTCTTTTTCCACCTCACTATCCAGTTTTGACCGAGAATCTGACTCTTGACCTTAAAAGGAGACCAACTCCTGATCCGAGTCCCGACTATGATCTCGACCCAACTTAGAACCAAATTGCCGATACGCCTCGATTCTGATCAGTGACTCAATTTTCAATTATGATCCCGATCCAGACTTCGATCTGGAACTCAACTCCTAACACTATTTTGAATTTTTTTTTTATAAGTCTATGCTCAGTTATACATATCTAAAAGACATATTAAACTTCATTAAAATTTCAGTCATGATTAAATATTCGAGAAATTTTTATAACAATGCTACTTAATGGGACAACAAAATTAGAACACCACATGAGTTTTTATTTTAATTTTTTATGTAAGTTAGAAATTCACTTCTTTGTTTGGACTCATTGACTAAGTAGTGGCAACACTTTCAAGATAAAGAATTCTATGCAATTAGTTGACTTAAAGTCTTCTTTGTCATTAATTGGAGAAAGAAAATTTATGATACCAAATTAAAGTTTGATATAGCAAAAACGTGTGGAAAAAAAAAAGGTCCAATATTAGAATATTCAACACAATATTGGAAATTTGCTAATAATAATAATGAAGACAACTTTACAAACCATTTTTTTTTATATTAATGAGTCATGAAGAAAACTTTTCTATGTTAACTAATTTTGGGTGGTGTCATATCATGTTTTCTTCAGCCTTGTATGGATGGTTGTTACTGATTAGTATTGTATTGTTAGTTTAAATGTTATGTTTGTTTTGATTATTATTCAAATTTTATTGTAGCGTATCGTTCAAATTCATCGTTAGATAATAACGAAAAGTCTCATAACCGCTGATTTAACGTGATCATGATGTTACCTTAGTGTTTTCTTCTCATTTTGTTTTTACTTATTATTTAATAATCTTATTCTTCTTTATGAAAAATTATATAGTATGTAAGATAAACTTGTGATATGTATTTACTATACGTTAAAAGAGTTATAATTCATAGTTAAAGTTAAAGTGTTATAGCAAATTTCTCTCAATACTCGCCTCTCTCCCCTCCTATTCCTCCTCCTCTCTCTCTGCAATTGACAGAATACAATCTATTCAAAAGTGATATTCATTAAAATAATACAATACGAAACAATACGTAACACCATCCAAACTGGGTAAAATTTGTGACTGGAAAAATTCATCACAAGTTCCATTTTGTGATGGATTATTAATATATGATAATTAAACAAGTAAAAACTCCATTGAGGATCATTCTCTTAGAACCTGCACTCTCACCCCTTTAAACTAATCACTTCACATTACTTGTTTCATCACACATTTTCATTTTATCAATTAAATGTTTGTGACAGATTCAAATGTCTGTCACAAATTGTGAAGGTTGGCTATGTCACAAACTTTATTTTTTAGAATCAAACATCATAAAATTTATTATGAACTTGATATTTTATTCAGAACAACACGAATTACGTACACAATATGTGATGTCAAGCAACAATTACATCTATTTTTGCAGAATCAGAACAACTCTCAAGCAACTTCACAGACTCTATTGAGCTTATTGAAGAACTAATTAGATTGAATTCCAACGAACATGGTTCCCGCGATTCAGAGGGCCTGGGAGGCATTTGCAGTGCTTGTAATTTGCCTTCAAGCATTTCCACTACTTTAGTCATTGAGGGACGATCGAGTGGATTCATTTGTATGCACCACAAAGCAACTAAAGTCAGCTTCTTTACGTCTTCATGTGTCTCGTCTAGTACTTCAATCTCCTTTCCCTTGTCGAGTTGATCATAAATCCAATATGGGAAATACTGGCTTGATATGTCTTCTTTGGCTGCCGAGTTTGTTTTCAAGCCTACGATATCAATGAGTAACATTCCAAAGCTATAGACATATGCCTTATAATATATTGGACCAATGCTTCTGTTAATCAGCTCTGGAGCTGCATAACCAATTGTTCCCCTGGCTGGTGTTAGAGTAACAATGCTCTTATCCGTCGGGTATGATTTTGCAAGACCAAAATCAGATAGTTTTGGAATGAAATTCTCATCCAAAAGTATGTTGTGTGGCTTGATGTCAAAATGTAGAATCTGAAAGTCACAACCTCGATGCAAGTATTCAATACCTCGAGCAACTCCAAGAGCAATTTCAAACTTTCTGTCCCAACTTAACAGTTGATCAGCTCCTCCATCTTGAGGTGTGATGTACTTTTCAAGTGATCCGTTAGGCATGAAGTCATACACGAGAGCACGCTTACATCTCTCAGCACAATAGCCAATAAGTTGTACTATGTTAACATGATGAATCCTCCCGATTGTGGCAACCTCGTTGATGAAGTCTTGCCCATCAGCTTTGGGCTTGCTCAAGATCTTCACTGCTACATTAGGACCACTTTGAAGCTTGCCTTTATATACTGAACCATAACCTCCTTGGCCTAGTTTCTCTTTAAAGTTCCTAGTCATCTTTCTTATGTTGGAGTTGGAATATCTAATGGGGGCGAAATTGTTCTCACCGTGCAGGAAACTTTCAATTGCATCATAAATCGACAAATGCCTTCGTCGTAACTCAATCATTAGAAATACAACTATGCATGGAAATAGAATGACTCTTGTCACAATGCTAAACCCTGTGTACAACCATCACAAATAAGCAAGAAAAGTTTGTGAATGGTTAAATTAAAAATTCAACCACCAACGTCTGCTCCATTTCGACATTAGAATGATTTCTAGTAATATATTTGAAAGATGAAAGATGTGACTTACCAGCTATGGGAAGTATCCATGGGATGATTGCTGCAAAAACACCAACAATCAATAACTCAGTTAATCTGACTTGCAACTAGTTTCCGTTATATAAAACAGAATTGACAATAGAATTACGACTGCTTACTTGCAAGAACACGGAGAACATGTTTTTGACCAACTTGATTGTGGTCATCCAAAGAGAAAATACAGAACCGAAAAAAGAAAAAGAAAAACATTTAAGACTTGCACAGCAAAATTGCTAAAATTGTAAGCTTTGCAGCAAAATGACATTGGGAACAATCTTACCACACGGCGTTTTGAAGAATCTAAAATTGTAAGCTTTGCAGCTGAAATCCACACAACGAACAGCAGTTGAATTTTCACCTTCACATTCATAATTCTCGGGGCACTTGCCGCAATAAACGTGACTAAACCATGAAAGCTCAAATCCATATGCCAAAGCATTATGCAAACTTAAAATAGAAATGTTGGCATTTGCATCCTGAATAGGCAATGAAGTCTTTGACATGAAGTCTACACTACACCCGACTTTCAAATCGGATGGTGATAATTCAGCCATGGTTGCATATGTGTGTCCCTTAAATGAATCAGAAGAAACATTGGAAGCATAACTCCTGTTGAGACAATTAGTGATTTCCACAAAGACTGGAGAATTTATGGCAAATGGACAGCTGAAGAGAGTAATTGGTACTGTTAAATGAACAATATAAGGCATTTTAATTATAGAAAAATCAAAACCAAGGGTAGTTCTACCCGTAATCGAATTCTGAGGAAGAGAGCAAATAATTTATGTTAATTCTACTATGAATTATAATTGGATATAACTACAATTAACATTCACAAAAATTATCAATTTCAACAATTTCTAGCTCGATATAAAAAAATAAAGGACAAAAAAGCTCATTTGAACTACGTAATGCATTAATAGAGCATTTATGGGAGCACCGTAGTGATCTTGAAAGTTGAATATTTATGTATAATTTAAAATTTTTTTTTCAATTATGTAATGTTTATTTAATTGTATTTCATTAATGATTTCACTTTTATTTGTATTATTCCATTATTATGTATAATGTATAATATTTGCTAGCAATTTATATTATTTAAAAAATTATGGTACAAAATAATTTTATATTAAATGATTATAAAAGGAAATAATACGAATTATATATGGTGAATGTTTTAGAAAGAATTTGTTTTATGAAATAAGAAAATAGTCAACTAATGTTTGCTGTTCACTACTCTTTATATTCTCTCCCTCTTACAACTTGCATAAAGATTCTTGAAATCCCGTCAATTCCTTTCAGTGCAATTTCAAGTTTTATAAGACTCAGTTGGTTTAATCCAATATGCAGCTATTGTGAAGGTCTTGAAATGGATTGTGGCTTCAAGAACTATACTAAACAACTGACTACTCAGTGTTTCAACCGGCCGTTCACAACCAAAGGTATTAACTCATTTAAAAAGTTACCTTTGTTTGATGCCATGATCATGTACTTTTCTATTCCATAACAAAAAAATTGATTTAATTCTGACAGGCGGCGGAAAGAAACCACTGATTGCAGGTATGTACTCTTGTGAGTTTTGGTATTATTTTTTCTCCCTTACATACTTTTGATTGCCTTCTGATAATTTGTGAGATCACATGTTCCAGGTGGAGTTATAGGTCTCATGCTTTCGGGAATTATTATGATGGCACTCTATGAGTGTTATAGCTCAAGCAAAATTGAAAGAGAGAATCAAGCCAGAGTTGAAAAGTTTTTGGAAGACTATAGAGCTCGCAGACCGACTAGATATACTTATGCAGATATTAAGAAGATAACAAATCAGTTTCAGGAAATATTGGGAGAGGGAGCTTATGGGATCGTTTATAAAGGAGTAACCTAACTGTTCCTTCTCCTTTTACAACAAGAAACACCACCCATGTAGGTCCTTCTACGCAAGAGTTGACGATAATCTCAGAACTAGAATGAATGGAAGCCTTAATTACAGATCAACTCCTTCATCTAAAGTTGTAATGTCAGAGTCAATACAAGTGGAAGTCTGAATTTTGGTATTTTCATTAAGTCATTATGTTTAGCTGCTACTTTCACAACTCTTTTTCGTGTCCAAAATATTTATTGTCAATCTGTCATGATTCTAATATCAACACTCACAAAAGTTATTACATATGCAACACCATTTAGTATAATATAATACAATGTTTGATTAGCCGCACAATAAAAATGATCTCCGCCATAACTAATAATATAATTACCTTAGAATTTACCACATTCAGTCATGTCAGAGAATTTGCAAAAGTATCTACAGAATGAATGATCTTACAATTTTTGTGCAGAAAGTATCAGATACAATTCATAGATATACCTGAATTGGCACCACCGGTGTGTAGTCTAGGGAACCTTTGCTCTAGCAGTTACAAGTTTCTAGTCATCAACTGACCAATTGCGTACAGACAAATCAATTGTGCCCCAAAGTAACGTATTGGACGATGTTGTTACGTGTAAGGAGAGGCCTCCTATACCACTGTAAACATGGCTATATGTTGGAACTGAACAAATAGAATTAATATGCACAACAGGGGAACATTAATGCATAAACCACTGCCTCCATTGATCTATGCAAACAAAACATGCTACCCATATCCATCAAAATTTCTCGAAAATTATTCGTGTGACCAGCTAACTTCAGGTTCTTCAAACTTATCACTGGATCCCATATGGAAACAAATCAAGCTCTCGAGTACACTAGAGGATAAGAAAATGTAGTTCTACCTATGGATTTTCATTAAGCAAAAATATGTAGTTAAAATTTCAATGTAAATTCTAACATTGGGATTTGCTGTTAGTCAAAGCAACAGCATACCCAGATTACCTTAGAGCATATGAAAAATTTAAAATATTAAACTAATCTACTACTAACTCTCTTTAAAAAGAAATTATCCATGATTATGTGTTATACTTGAGATATTTGCTGCCACTTACACCTTATATTTACAGAAAAATAAAGAATTTTAACCATAGTACTAAATACATGTCTTGCATTCATTTGCTTGGTGTAAATACAAGGTACGAGCAAATTTTTTCCCAATGACCATTTTGGTCAGGAGTCGAGTCATTTCATTAATTTATCTAAAAACACAGCATATATCCTAAGAACTCCCCAAACAAGACTTCTTGCCATTCCTAGTTATTATCTTATATACAAAACATCACAAAAGCAACACGAAAGATTGCCAATTGGAAAAAATGCAGCTTTAACTTCTTTCTCCAGCTTCTGCTTCACTGTCCAGTTTTTCCTCTTCTCCAGATTTGTGTCACAAACTCAGAAAACATTCAAGAATCACCAAGTTACGCAAGAACTATTTAACGTCTTTTCTTTCTTGCCTTGGTTGTCATTTACATTGGCTGGTGGAAAGCAGATGGATGTCATCTTCTCTCAGGTTGCCAGAACTTGCAAAGACCTTTGAGTCCTACAAACCACCATTCACATCACTCTAAAATTTGGACCAACTCTGAGTCGATCAATCAAATGGGAAAACACCTTTCCTCTTTCGCTTTCTCTCCACTCCTGCTCCAGTGGCTTCCATTCCGGGTTCATTTCATGCCGAACATGCCTCAGTATGGTATGCATCTCATTAGAATCTGAATAGGTAGAAAGCTTCCATAATTGCATCTTACTTCCTTTAGCATGCCACAGAGAGTAATTGAATAAAATATATCCACACAAAACCAAGTATCTATGAAGAGAGAGGGATATGAACAGAAATTAACTTACAGTTGAAACTACTACCAGAAGAGCAAGTGACATTTTTGGAATTTCATTTTGGGCTTCAGTTTAAATGCTTGACCTCAGGTTGAGAAAAGCCAGTCCAAAATCATTTGAATTTCACGATACGATGTATGCTCCATCCTACATGTTGAGACAAGCACATCAGTGAAGCAGGAGAATGACTTCTTGAATACAGATGGAACATTTTAAAAAACTCAAATCTTAGATTACACATACTTCATTGATTGTAAATTTGTCTGATAACTTCAAGGATGGCAACAGCCATTCCGATAAATAGATGGGCTTCTTTTGATATTTACTATCATCTGCAGAATAATGACAAAGCCAATTCTTTTTATCCATGATAACAGCAAGAAATGGTCTTGGCCTAAATGATTTTTGAGCCATACCTGAACGGCGCACAAGTATTCTGTGTGAAACAAAGGACTGCAACAACCAGAAAAGATTATTAAGGTTAATATAACCCCTTAAAGTCCAATGTTCAATTGAAGAAAAACAGTTATATAAATGTGGGATTCCTGTCAAATCTCCCACATTCTTTTATATATAGATGATTGGGTGTCGTTTGTAGAAAACCATATCTTTTTGTAGGTTTTCTACTTTTTGGGTGTATTTCTTGTATATGGGTGCCTCTTTATGCCCATGTTGTTAATAAGATTGTAACTTTAAAAAAAATGAACCTGGGATTCCTGTCAAAGGCTGCAACGACAAGGCATAGAGGGAGAGGTCACAAGCGTCTATACCTTAAAATCAATTTTCGACGGAATGAAAAAGCATCTATTTATGGAGCACTGATTTCAGAAGCTCATGAGTTTTGATGTTTAAGGTCAAAACATAAAAGGGAAAATACACCAATACAAAGACGTTCTTCTTCAAGAGAAATACACATGTTCTTCCATGTTTGTTTTTTGTAAAAGCATTTCATAAACAAAAACTTTGCCAGCATAAAAAGTCTCAATGTCCGATTTCATCCAAAAAGCCACAATACATGAATTATCAAACCAAATTTGTTGCTCCCTGAATTAACATACGATGTATTATCATTTCTTTTGATATTCAACCAGAGAGGTGTTATGAAAATTTGCCACTACTCCTATATGGCTATAGTGCCTCTCAGTTATCTATTTCACATCTAAACATCACAGTCCACACTTTATTCATACCAGGAGAAAGGGAAGTTACTGACAATCTCATTCATAAATCATGTCCGACTTTCCAAACATTCAAGGTCAATAGTGGAACATTTCCTTCTCATTTGTAATAAACCATCACTTGCAAGAACCACCAATTTCGGCAGAAACTCCACCTTTCTTTGATTGTTTCAGTTTTAGTTTCTAGATTTTATTCCTTTAGCACAACATTTTCAATATAATAGTCTTTCCACCCTATACTATATTTGCAAGTTATTAACACGACACACATTAAGTGTTGTGAAGAGCCTCACATTGTTAAAGGATGAGCGGTCTCTTTAAAATGGCTTGGGCAATCCTCACCTTGAGGTTGAGTTAGGCCCAAAATCCATTTCTTTACATGGTATCATAGCAGGACCTATTCCAATTGTCATTTCCGATGTTGGGCCACATATTAAATTGTTCACGCACCAAATGTCCAGCCCTGGGCATGAGTGGTGTATGAAGAGTCCCACATCGCCCCTTTAAAGGATGGATAATCTCTTTAGTATGGCTTGGACAATCTTCACCTCTTGACCTAACTTTTGGGGTTGAGTTAGGCCCAAGATACATTTCTTTTCAAGTGTTATCAAGGGGAAAAGTGGAACAAAAATGGCCCTGACGTCTATTAGGTCTGCTATATCAGTCCTTACTATCCATTTCGGTTGAACCCATTCCATCCCAAAATTCAAAAACTTGGCCCTTTTTGAGTTCTCTTCTGTTTCTATTAGCATGCAAAATTTGTTTTTTTTTTAAAAAAGAAAAACTAAAAAGGTTCCTAGCAAATATTGAATCTAATATATATCGTCTATATGAATTTTTTACTTCCATTATGTTCTGTATTTTGCTAAATTGATTTTAGGTCACATTCCCTTCCAACACTTCAATCATGATGGACTAATGGTTCGTCCTCCACTTTTCTCAGTTCATCTCCATTAACAAATCACTATAACTAAAAAGAAATAGTTCAGTGTAATGCTTAACTTGAACAAAATGCCCAACAAACAATGTTTTAGCTATGAAAAGATATCTGTAAACCATCCCTAGAATTCCCTTCTCTGATATGGAGAAAGCAGCTGCAAGAGAATCCTCTACTATAGAGTGAAGTGGCTGTACTAAAATTTAGTTACAATATTTGAACTCATACATTCTTCGATTAGTTTTATGAAACACAATGGATACTTATTCTCTTTACCTAAAAAAGAACAACACCAAAAAAAAAGGATATGCTGGCTATACACAAGATTTTCATATATATCATGGTTACCTGCCATACTGAAGGCATATACTCCCGATACAGTTGAGCATTAGTACTACTCCTAATGGTCCTCGAGTCCAAGTTACTCTCATCAGACAACTGCCCTGTACTCCTGTTTGAATGGTTCCAAATTAGAAAATGATGATTGTGAAAAGAGCACTAGTTGTACGATTAAGCAGCTTAAAATCATCAAGAAATGATCTTTGGAACAACTGAACAGTTCAAGGGTGTACAAGCTCGTAACCACTATTGGTGATCAAAACAGATAAAGTCCCTGTACATGTTACATTACTTGTTTAGTTGAAAAATCAGTCAATCAGAACACAAACTGTCCAAAGCAATGAGCGCAGAATATGGAATTAAACCAGGACACATTTACAGACAGACAGAACATATTGAGCTTTAATTTTTCCACCACATTCTCTACATAGGATACCTATCATATTTATCTGGTCATTTGTAACCAGATTTTAGTAATGTGCAATACAAGATTTATTTTGGACAAAGGAAATGAACTGAATCCAACCTAATAACTTCACGAGATGTAAATTTATCCTGTAAACTTGCTGCTTTTGTAGTTAGAACAAGCATCGGATGCACCACAAGAATCTTCTGGATCTCTTGAACAGCAATGTCTGACACACTTTGCAAAGAGAGACTTCTCCTGGTAATAAGACAAATACATAATGCTAAAATACTCAATTTGAGAATAAGAAGCAAAAAGAATGGTGCAACCTATACAGAAAGAAAAGGAACATACTGAATCCTTTTCTCTCCTAAGAACCAAACCAAGTGTTAACATAAGGAGTGCTAGGTGAAAAACATGAACAGATGAAAGCAAACAGAAGGAAACTCGTAATTTTTATATAGTACTTGATTTGACATGTGAGGTTACCAAAACCACAACCTGCACCATCCCAACCTCCAGTAGAAAGAAGAAAAACAAATGACAACTGCACAACTGGGGTTAATTCAAAATGGTGGGGCTAAACAACAAAAAGAAAGAAAAAGACAATTGAACTGCAACCTTCATTATAGGAATAGCGTTACATCTCTAAAAGACTACATTAATGTGCTCATGCCTGTAGAAAAAATGCTCTTAAGAAGCACCACTCTCAAACAGAATAAGTCTATATTTCAAAACTTTGAGCACTCTCCAAGAGCTGAGGCAGGCTTCCAAGAACTATTTATCTTACATGTGAATTTAGTATAACACGTGCAGCATTTAAGCATGACCAAGAATAGGTTCATCTGTTAAGATGAATCCAAGAGTACTTTCCCAGCTCATCCAAGGAAAAAAAAAAGATCCAAACAAAGTAGAATGCAAATATCTTAAGCAAGACAATTGCATTTCTGATCACCTACTTACAATGTTTGACCGGCAATGGTCATTTTCCAGCTAATAAATAGGTAACAGAAACTGCAGGCTTTCCTAACACCACAAAAATGCTACAAACTAAGGTGTTGCAGGAAGTATTTGGAGACGATCTACCTTTCAGGATTCTCCATAATTTTCTGTTTTCTGTTCATTTTGAACTGCATCTTTCACTTATTTTCTCTCTTTAAATGTAAGATATTATTGTGGACTCTAACCTGTTGTTGCTCCCTGGCGGTATAGATGGTGAAGCACGATCCATCCAATAAAAAGCTCCAATACTGGTCATACAAGAGAAGCAACATATCTAAATATACTACAGAACTTAGTTACACCATTAAGGAATATCAAAAGAAAAAGGAAAAAAACAAAGGAAACAAAGGGAAGAGGAACATAGATGGAACATCTGAACACAGATTTGATGACCTAACAGATAATCACTAAATGGGTAGTAAATTATGAAGTACAATCCTAATGCCTGAACAATGCTCTGGTGAATAACAGAGAACAACCAAATGGATAATTCAGTTTCAGTAGTCCTTGCAACCTACATGACAAATCAAGTCAATAAAAAAATCTAGTCCGAGTGGAAACAGGAATCGATTATAGTCCCCACCCCAGAGAGCATGCCAAAGAATCGGACAAGGAACTAATGATAAAAATGGAAGATAACACATAAACTTTTTCCCATAACAAGGCACGTTTTGATAAATTAGCTGTGTCCTTGGACATTCCCCTGATAAAGAAGAAGGTCACTTTAGAAGACTATCATACTGTAGTACCATAGGATTGGCTGTTTTAACATGGCCACATAAATAAATCGGCAAACTGCCTAACAGCAAAAATAAGTCAAGAATAATGCACTATCACGAATTGTTTGATTTATCTATCCATATACTTATCCTAAGAATACTTCTATTCTGTAGGTTGATCTGAAAATGTTACATGCATAAACAAGGATAAACTTTACCTTTTTAAGCCCAATAATGGATGTTATCATTTTTTTTTTTTAATAATGGATGTTATCATTGTTTAGATACCTTCACTACTCTGCCATAACTGTTTATGTATTCTTCATTTTATTATGGGAAACTAGAAACAGTTTCACCCATTCTTGAACATGTTCACACAAATGTTTTGACGTCAATGGTATGCACTTGCTAGAGCGGTCAATGTAAGACCCCCACAGCAAATGATACTACTGTTAAAACTTCAAGTGTTTCTTTATTATTTGTATGAAACTAAACCACCAAATTCAACATCAAGAAGAGCATTAGAAGGAACCTGTCAATCATAAGCAAATAAACACCACTGCCATGTGCCTCTTTTTCCTTTTGAAGTTGGAAATGCAACGTCTGCAACAAAACGAGATTGAAAGAATAGGCGACATACTTGTATATAAATTGAATTATTTATATACATTGTAGAAATACACAAAATGATAAATAAAAATAAATTAACAACATATATTCACAGCGAGAAGTGTTGGATTATGTCAAATTACGCGACCAGCTTGTCTAAAAGTTTAAAATGTTGAAAGGATACACTTCTTTTTACCTAATCATATCTTTAACACCCCCTATTCTTTAGGGTGAGTCAAGCACATCCACATCATTTTAGAAATGACGGCAGTGAGACTTGAACTCAAGATTAATGTTGACCTATGTCTAACTCTGATAACGTGTTTTAAAAGAAAAAAGGGACATTGAGCCTTATGCAGCTCTGAAATTAAGAGCATGAGGCAGATTGTCAAAACCACATAACCAGACTACATCTCATATTCTTAACCATGGAGCTCAACATTGCCAAGCCTCCTTAATATGCAATTGTTAACATTCCACCCCCCCCCCCCCCAAACACCGGCCCACCCCTTATCTTCAGGATATTTCATATATATATATATATACACATCTAAGATAATGACATTTATCATCCTCAAACAAAAATAGCTCACAAATCTACGATAAGTGGAAAGGGGGTACAAGTTTCTATGATTTACACCAATATATTTTGACAAGACAATGTCAATGCAGAACCATCTCAACCTCTATCAAACATTCAGTCACTTTATTTACATAACTACCTTCAAAGAGATTGCAGAAATGGTCTAGAGTGTTGGTTCTAACAATAATAATATTATAAAAGAAGATCTAACAAAGCATTAACATGGTTGAAGGAACAAAAGCTATACGTATATTGACAGGAAAGATGACTTATTAAAAGAGAGAAAAGATAGGTAGGAAAGCACAGAAGCAAAAAATGGATAAAATGAGGAAGTCAAAGCCTAAGTACTCATTCTAACTCACCTTAAGAGTAGCAAGAAATTCAAAACTATCATAACAGCGGATGTACGAGAACCTTCTCATGCTGACAGCGAACAATTCTTTGTCATATTCGGTGTGTGCATCCTTTGATCCACTAGGAGAATCATCCACCTTATTTAGCTTGTGGCCTATGCCATTGCCTGATTAGACAAAATAAACCAAATACTACTTGCATCAAATATATGAGGCCATAAACATATTTAATTACTAGTTTCTCTACTGTTATGAACATGTGTGTGTGTGTATTCTTCATTTGTGTAAGGGTCACTTATGGCGAAATGGGGCAAAGTTATTCCTTTAGAGGGTAAGCCCCTATTCTGCTTCATTTGCACCTATCCTCGCTAAGCATCGAGCTTGTCAGTTGAATTACACTTTATAATTTGCACTACAGGCTATCAGAATTATTATTTTTGTACAGGTAACATTTTTTTGTATTAATAACAAACTACACAAAGGATGTGTAGTCCCCCATATTTACATCCAGATGAGCAAAAAATAAGCTCCTAGTCCTTAATCTTCTCGTAAGGAGTCGAGTACATCATAAGCTGATTCGAACTCCTCCATTAACCTATGTTTACACCAAAAAAAGAAAAGCCCTAAACATTTCAACTTTAGTTTCTGTATACTAATGGCTTTGTCTTCAAAACAAACTTTCTTTCTTTCTCCCCACACAGTCCACCAAATACAAGCTGGGACAATTTTCCATCTCTCTTTCTGATTGGAGGGATTGGTATCACTATTCCAACATTTCATTACGTCTGATACTCTTCCGGGCATAGTCCAGCTAATGCCCCTCAAGTTAATGAAAATCTTCCACAACTGGTCAGTCCAGCTGCAGTGAAGAAAGAGATGAGAGATTGTCTCTGCTTCCTTACCACAGAGAAAACACCTTGAGCAAGGATTGAAACCTCTCCTCGTGAGTGTATCTTGTGTGAGTACAACTTCTCTGGCTAGCAACCAAGAGAAGCATGCAACTTTGTGAGGGATCTTAACCCTCCAGATCATCTTCCAAGGCCAGGTCCCACTCTGATTGTTTGAGGTTGTGAGTACTCTGTATGCTGCTTTCACTGTAAATTTGTTCTCCTTATTTCTTAACCATATCAAGCAATCTGTCTCAGTTGATGTACCTTTGAACTGTTCTAAAGTTCCGAAGAAGCTTGCTAGTCTGTCAATTTCCCAATCATTTAAAGCTCTTCTGAAACTCAAATTCCACCCCTGTTCACCCCAAACCATTTCAATTGTTGAGTTTTGTTGTTGATTGAGGGAGTATATGTCTGGCTAGAGTTGCTTTAGGGGACCTTGTTCAATCCATTTATCATTCCATAGATCAAGTTTCCTTCCATTACCAATGGTGAACATGGTTTTTGCTAGCAATTTGGGCCACAAGTTCCTTATGGATTTCCAGAGACTAACTCCATAAGGACTATTGCTTACTTTGGTAGTCCATCTTCCATCCAAACCATATTTTTCCCTGATTACCTTCTTCCATAATGGCTGGTCGTCTGAGTTGAAGTTCCATATCCACTTCATCATTAAACTCTGATTCTGGATCTTTAGATTCTTAATTCCAGCACCTCCTTCCTTCTTGCTGGCTTGACAAGACTGCCAATTGAGAAGATGTATTTTATTCCTCTCACTGTTCCCTTCCCAAAAAAAGTTCCTTCTCAAGGAGTCCAACCTTTTCATAACACTGGCAGGGACAGGAAACAGAGACATCATGTAGGTAGGCATTGCATCCAATACAAAGTTTATCAAGGTCAGTCTTCCTCCCATGGATAAGTATTGGGTTTTCCAATTTGCCAACTTTTTTTCACATTTCTCCAACACCTGAGTTCATATATTTATAGACTTGCTTTTTGCCCCCAAAGGTAATCCAAGATATGTTGTTGGAATATCCCCAATTCTACCTCCTAGAATGTTGGACAGTCTCTGAAGATCGCCCACTTCATTAACTGGGTAAATAAAGCTTTTATTCCAGTTGATGTGCAGCCCGGAGATGGCCTCAAATAAAATGAAAATCACCCTTAACATCCTTACTTCATTCAAATCTGCGTCACAAAAAATCAAGGTATCATCTGCATATTGTAGATGCGTGATTGTCATGTTACTTTCTTCCCTGGAGCTTACTTTGAATCCTCTGATCCAGTTGTTTGTTTGAGCTTTCTGTAGCATGTCATTTAAACCCTCCATGGCAATGATGAACAAGAATGGGGATAGAGGATCCCCCTGCCTCAGACCTCTCTGTGAAGGGAAGAAGCCAGCTGGAGAGCCATTGACAAGTACTGATGCAAAAGTGGATCCATTTGATCCAAATTTCTCCAAATCCCATCTTCCTAAGCATCCCCAATAAGAAGTTCCAGTTCAAGTGATCAAACGCCTTCTCAATGTCTAACTTGCACAATATACCCGGGGCTTTACTTCTGATCCTACCATCAGTGCATTCATTGGCAATTAAAATGGCATCCAGAATCTGTCGACCTTTGATGAAAGCTATTTGCTGTGCATCCACCAATTTGTGCACTACTTTCTTCAGTCTTTCAGTCAAAAGCTTGGATATGATTTTGTAAATGCTCTTAGGTATCAATGCAATGAAAGTGGCATTGAAGCTCTTTTCAAAAATTCCTTGATGATAGACGTATAGCTTTTGTTTCCACTACAGGCAATCAGAATTTGGAATTTTTTCTTTTGATAACCAAGAAATCCCTGAGGGCTAGTGGAAATTAAGTGGACATCATAATTTGGAACCTTTATAATTTTAACCCTTGGACAACAGTTTTTTCTACTTTTTAGTTTCTCATTTGAAAATCTCAAAAAGACATTGGTTAGTAGTGAAACGCCAACCTCTACAATCAAGGGAGCATAGCTCTCAACTCTTACCAAATTTTAAGTATACCTATGTGCTTCATTTATGTTTTTTTCCTGTTGAAAAGTCAATGAAATGTCACTAATGTGCACCAAGATGATGTCAAACTATATGGATAAAAGTGTTCAGTGTTTAACTCTAAGAATCTATCAACTATCTACAGATAAAAGGATCTTGAAAACAGAGGTGTCGATATTCCACATGGGTCTGTCAACTCCTTCAAACGTCCTCCTGTTTCATTCTCTACACATCATCCAATAGATGCATAACGATGCCATATTCCAAAACCTCCTTCCTTTCCTTTCCTTCCGTATTCTGCTCAACCTCCATGTTCTGAGAGCATCAACAACTCTTGAGGGAGGCCCATTATATATTAAATATGGAATACACCATACTAAATAGATCCATGACATAGAAAAAAATAAGAACCTAATGTTTAGAGTCCTTCATTTCTTGCACTTACAATACCAACACATTATTATACAACTCTACTCCTAATCCTTTGTTATGTCTATCTTATCATGATTTTGAATCTACTGTGCAGTCACTGAAATTTAAACTTTTTTTCCAATAAATATTAACATATAGAGCTTAGAGTTAAATAGCTAACCTTACACCTCTGACATTGGAAACTCTTATCTATCTAAGTTACTCGAATTGAAATCTGTGAGCATTCAGAAGATTCTCCAAAAGCAAACAGAATACAGGCAGCTCAGTTCCTTAAACTATTCTGTATGTTCCATTGGGTATGCTTCTTGAATTGCATCATTTTTCTGAAGGATAATAATGAATTTCGATCATTCCAACACCAAAATCAAACATATCCATTTACTTCAACCAGCTTGTCAATATAGTAGGTTTGTAACATCAAGAACGACATTTTCAAATAATTACACCCAATACTCAGTTATAACAAATCAATTAACAGCACCTATGAGTTCAGTTCTTTCGTGTTAGAGAGCTTAGACAGTTCTTTCCTCCATTTATCAGAACACCCTTGTATAAAAATGCAATATTACGATAGACTACAAAAAATCACAAAGCATATCAACAATATTGCAAAACCAAAAAAACATAGTGTGTAATTGCTATTAAGAACTCATGTTAACTCAACCAAAACTGAGAAAATTAAGTCAAGTCTCAATTTAAAAACAGAATGGTTACTGAGCCTTTCTCGAAAATGCTTTTCTTGAGTCATGTATCTATCGATAACCGCCTCTCCACCTCTCACAAGGTAGGGCTGTAGGGGTAAGATTTGTTACACCCCACTTGTGGAATCACATTGGGTATGTTGTTGTTGTTGTTGAATGGTTACTGACTTTTATTAACACCCAATTGGCTCATCAATTCAAAACAAGTATTGGGTTGATTGACTCAACACACGAACATGTCATATTTTAAGTGCTATTTCAAAATTGATACTAAAATCACATGTTATTGCAATATTACTGTTAGAATAGTAATAGGTTTATACAATCCTATTAGAATAGGAATAGGTTTATACAATCCTATTAGAATAGGAATAGGAATAGGAATAGAAATAGAAATAAGAATACTAAATAGTATCCTACTTGGTAAAGGATTGTATTCTAGAATCTATAAATAGGGTCTCAATGTAATAATGTACACAACAACAATTTCAATAATATTATTTTTCCTATATTTCTCATATGGTATCAGAGCCTCTACGATCTTGGTAGAGAATCAAAGAGCTTCTTCTACCGGCGGGTGGCTATTACCCATATATGTTGCCCGTCTGGCCAACAATTATGTTAGGAAAAGTTGGGTCACCGTGTATCTTTCCAGTGACTACTTTTTTTATCATATTTAATTTGTGTAGCATCGTGCCATCATTCCGGTGACTACTTTCTTCTATCTAACTTGTAGCACCGTGCCATCTTTCCGGTGACTACTTTTTCATATTTAATTTGTGTAGCACTGTGCCATCGTTCCAGTGACTACTTTTTCATATATAATTTGTGTAGCACAGTGCCATCCTTCCGGTGACTACCTTTTTATGCATATCTGATTTGCGTAGCACCGTGCATCTCTCTAGACTACTTTTCATATTTAATTCGTGTAGTACCGTGAATTTTTCCAAACTATTTTCTCATATTTGAGTTGTATAGCATCATGTGGCTTTTCAATGACTCCTTATATTTGATTTGCATAGTTCCATTCGTCTTTCCGGTGACTCCTCAAATCTGATTTGCGTAGGGTTGTGTCATCATTCCAACCCTACCTATATAATTTTTCTTTTTCAGTAGGGTCGTGCCATCATTCCGACCCTACCCATATTATTCTCTTTTTCAATGGGGTCGTTCCATCAATTCGAACTATCCTATACAATTTCTATTTTCTAGTTGGGTCGTGACATCATTCCGACCCTACCCATATAATTTTATTTCTTAGATGGTGAAGAAGTCTATATGGAGCAACCACCTAATTTTGTAGGTCGTGACATCATCCCGACCCTACCCATATAATTTTATTTCTTAGATGGTGAAGAAGTCTATATGGAGCAACCGCCTAATTTTGTTGCTCAGGGGGAGTTTAGTAGCCTTGTATGTTGATTACGTAAGTCACTCTATGGTCTGAAACAGTCTTTGCAAGCTTGGTTTGAGAAGTTCCAACACTGTAATTTAATCACTTTGTGTTTTATCGGCATCATGCATCAAATTCAGTATTTCATGAGAAGACCAAACATATTGAGATTGATTGTCAATTTTGTGAAGTCAAGTGATCAACTTGCATATATCTCACCAAGCCCCTCATCGGTCCTCGTGTTAATTACATTTGTAACAAGCTAGGTACATGAATTGTATGCACTAGCTTGAGGGGGAGTGTTAGAATAGTAATAGGTTTATACAATTCTATTAGAATAGGAATAGGAATAGGAATAGAAACAGAAATAAGAATACTAAATAGTATCCTACTTGGTAAAGGATTGTATTCTAGAATCTATAAATAGGGTCTTAATGTAATAATGTACACAACAACAATTTCAATAATATTCTTTTCCTATATTTCTCACAATTAATATGGCTATTGCTATTATAGCAGTTTATGTAATTAGAAAACTAGACAAATAAGCAGTACAAGGGACTACACAAAATTCTTTCAATAATGGATGATATTCACAAAAAAAAAAAAAAAAAAACATTCTCAGAAATGGATAATGAGAGATGTACAGAATCTTCAGCGGTGATGAATCTTTTAATTTGATTCAACTGAATTGCTGATCAGCGGTCTCTGGCTGTCAACAAAAACTTTTGAAGGGGTGGAGGATTCATTGTTACAAGAGTTAACTTTTGTCTACTTTGTATGCATAGATGATTGGCAACATTTTTGGGAGGCTTTTAATGTGTGTTTTTAATACATTATGTAATACAACAACCAATTTGGTGTAATATCAATAAATACTTTGATTAATTGAAAAATGAAACAAAAAGGAAGTCTTTTTTGTTAGTAACAAAAGAGAAAGTTTTGAAACCATATATTACCATATCAACAATATGGTTACAGGAAAACACAAATTAGTCATAAATTTCCAGCAATTGACTAAACTATAAAATTAGAGCCTCCATATTCTAAACAACATGAAATTCCAAAATACAAAATAAACAGGCTCAAGAATAAATATCTACCATTTGCTTGAATGATCCGCTGCTTCAGTAATCGTGAAAGGCTTAACACATCAAAACGACAATCCAGGTCAACAAACATAACTAATCGCTCCAAGCCTCCATAGTTTACACCCTTCCACTCCTTAGGCAAAATACAATTAATAGCAGCCTAGCATGAACCAAAAAGAATCACATTAAGCTTATTATTTGAGAGACATAATATATGTGATACCATCTAGTTGGGATTAATGCTTTCGTAATTTTCTTAAAAAAATCTACAGTAACAATTTTTATATTTGCTAGGACTCTTTCTAATCAAGTTAGGGACTTGTATGTCCATCGAGAGTATGAATAAGTGTGGAGTTCCGAGACCTTATTTGCAAGATAAAATATTACCCTCTGTTCATGAAGTATTATTTCATTATTTGCATAAACTCAGTTTGGTCTTGTCATTTTGGGTGACTTCAACTGAAAATTGAAACAGTGGTATCACAGGTATGAATGTGTATTTCAAGTGAAGCTTTTCAAATCGTCAATTTCCATCCCAAAATCTTTTCCACAATAAGGACTTCCATAAATTTTTCTCAACTCTAACTTCATATAATCTTCTTCCAGTTTTAACTGAAAATTTTCCAAATTCCCAGATAGTACTGGTATGAAATAGACCCATAGTATTATATTTTGACAACCGTGGTGTCCGGGCCAGCTTACCAGCTTTCACGCATCTCAACTAATTTCACGTGATAATGTCAGCTCCCACTCCCACTGGGGGCAAAAACCAGGTAATATTATCCACCAAGTCTAAGATAGATGGGGAGAAATGAATTCGAACCTACGACCTCATGCTACTCAACCCACTTTATTGTCCACTAGGTCACACCCATGGGTGCTGACATAGACCCATATGGAGCAAAATGGTCACATAGAATCCATACTTCTAAAACATCCGACCTTAACTAGTCAGGTAATTGATTAATATTGGTAACACTACAAAAATGTGAGAGTCCACAAAGCAAAAGAAAATGGTCAAAAATGCACCTAAAGTATCCCAATTTTTCGAGTTTCATACCTAAACTATTAGGTCTGTGCATTTCCTACCTAAACTATAACCAATTATTATCAAATACATCTCAACTATCAATTGTTTATTTTTCTTACCTGAACAATGGGATATTTCAGTTTATGAAACTCACACACCTACTAGTTGAATTGTGTTTTAATAAATAGTTAGGGATAGTTCAGATAGAAAACTCGCACAATTGATCGTTCATTCAGATATGAAAACTCAAAAAAACCTGAATACATTAAGAGTGTCTATATATGCACATTAAAATCACTGATTCAAAATTATGAATTGGCATCTATAAAATGTAGCTGAACAGAAATGAAAAAGAAAAAATAATAAATAGAGTTTTTGTTTCATGTGACTTACCTGCATAAGAATGCGAGTTTTTGAAGAAGGGGAAGGACCGACGATTTCTACAACATTGCCAGGACGGAGAGGAATGCGATGAAGAGGTGGAGGTAATGGTAGAAATGGCCGCTCGGAGAAAACCCTAGTGAGAAATTGCTTCGCCGTTTCGTCTTCTTCAATCCATTCTCTCGCCGACGACGCCATTTCTACTCTTCCTCAGTTGCTTGGAGCTGAAAATGGAACAAGGGAGACAGTGAACCAGCTCTACAATACTAAAAAAAGAATATATTTTTTTTAATTTTTTTTTACCTATTATGAAATTTTCATTTTATTTTTTAACTTACAAATGGTTATAAAAGATCATTTTTAATTATTTCACTTTTTTTTTTAATTTAAAAGGTGCATAAAAGCTAGGATAAAAAAATGCTCCCTTGATTTCATATTATTATTTATCCACATTACATAAATGCACCGGTGAGGAGATGCAAGAGGTTGGTTATACAAGGTAGGATATAGTAGAGGCAAAGGTAGATTGAAAAAGTGTTGAAGAGAGGTGATAAGATAGGATATGACTTATTTTCGTGTTATCGAGGGTATGATCTTAGATAGGAGATGTGGATGACACATATAAGGGTAGAAGGTTAGTACCTGAATTTGCTGCATTTGAAATTTTGAATCGAGGGTTTTTCGAAAATAGTCTCTCTACCTCCACGGGTTAGTAATAAGATTTGTATATATATTACCCTATCTAGACTCCACTTGTGAAATTTCACTTATTATGTTGTTATTGTTATAGTATGTATCTACATCACTAGAAGTATTTGTTTCAAATTATTATCAACATTGAACCAAAACAAATCTAAATTTTTTTGTTTTGCCCTTAAAGTTAATTCGAAAATATAAATATTGTGAAGTCTAAAAAAAAGTTAATCCATTTATTGATCTTAGTATTGATAGATAGGGTACATGAATAAAGTATATTAAAAAGAGTTAAAAGGTGAAATTAGTAAAAATGTCTTTCTTATTTATGATTTCTTAGAAGGTGTGTGTAAAAGAAAAAGTGGATAAGTAATACAAAACAAATGAGGTAATTTATTTGACTCGTAAGGTCTAGACGCATAATGCTATCATATAAATTGAGATAGAAAAAAATAATACTTATGAATCATGTTCAAATGCGAGAATATCTAATTACACCTTTGGTTCAAAAATATTTTCCATAATTCGTTTTTCGAAAGTTCATTAACTAATTTCTAGAACTAAATTAAATAGTATTTTAAAATTAAAAGTTAAATACTCA